CATAGTCATCTGGAAGCTAAAGACCTGTGAAGGCGTTCTGAATGCTATGGAACTGCTTTCCAGCTTCCTTACTTTTTTTTTTTTTTTCCTATCTTTTCCTTTGCAAGCATCCTACAAAACTTAATGCTTCAAAGAGTATCCTACGTATCTCACAGTTCATGTCATAAATCTTTCTGATACTGAGCTTTTTATTTAGCTAGCTTTGTTTCTGAGCCTCGTGGTTCGCTGCTGCCTGGATTTAAGGTGGCTTGGTTGTTTCTTTTACTTTTCCTGGTAGGTTGATGACCTATTTTTGGTAGCCTTAATGCTGCTTTACTGACATTTTGTCCTACAGAATTTTATATGCATTGTCTCGGTCAAAATGCTCATCAGCACACATACTCATGTCTTAACCATTTCTAGTGTAACTTTCACAACGTTTTCATAACATTTGCTCGTACTGGTAGAAGTCAGTCTCCAGACACCAAGTGGAGAGCCAGTCTTTGGTATTTTCCCCCCTATTTACAGGAAAATCAGACCTTGGGTGGGATGCTCACCCACGTGGATGGATGTGGCCTTCACGGAGAGCTTGCAGTGCTGACTTTGCTGCTGCTGCTCCAAGTCCAGGCATTTCAGTTAGGCCCTTAGTTTGGTTGAAACGAACAGGGGTGATATTACCAGCACAAGCATTCACGGTTGCCTCCTTCCCACATCAGTCCTGAATGTAAAATTTGATGTGTGGAGATCACATTAGATCACACTGCCACGCAGTTGGTGGGCTTTTAACAGAGGGATGTATTTGAAGAATGCGCATTGCACACAGATGGGTATTAGTGTGGTTGGCTGTCACTCTTGCCCAAGAAATAGACTTTCAGGAAACTCGGTTCTGAAACATCCTTTTGCCATGTGATGCTGCACTTCCAAGTATAATTTTTATGGTGTAATCAGCTCTGCCACTGATTTTTTTTTTTTTTTTTTTGCATCAGTTCTAGTGGAACTGATCACAAAGTAAAAATACCAGACTATTTAGGTGAGGTCAACCTAGCAAACTTTATTTTGTGGCTTAGAAAATATCTGAGTGTCAAATGCATTGTATAAATATTCAAAAAATGGTAACCACATGTTCAAGTTGGAGCATGAAAAAATAAATTCTGATTCTTCCATCTATATGCATTCCTGATTAGACTTTCCATAGCACAGAATATTTTTCTTCCACAGGTTGCTTGTCTCATTCTGTACCATAGATGAATGTCACTGTCTGAATAAGGGATTTTTTTAATGCTATTTTTCTTTTAATCCCCGTAATTCGGTATGTGGTTACATGTGTTATTTGCTGCACAGAATTCAAATCCTGTACAGAGCACAGAAGTAACAGAAATATTTATTATTACAATTTAATATTAATAAATAGTTGAATGAAATGTGAAATATATTCCCAGTAGGAAGTGATCACATCCTAGCACCCATTTCTGTCAAATTAAGGAGAAACATTGGATTCCTTTTGAGTCAGTAAAAGTTCAAAAGAATTAGAAAATACATAAATGAAATACAGAGTATTCTGAAGATTTCCAACTCCTCTCAGTCATAATTTTAAATTATTTTTTAGTGTAGTAATGTATTTTTGGTTAAATTACGTGGCCTGGGATACATCTGTTGGGTGATTCTTTTGCTCCACCAGTCAAGTCAGGTGCAAGTACAGTGTGAGGCCACTGCTGTCCACCCAAGAGGGTAGTTAATAATTTGTGGAATGCCAAAATGGTGTCCATAAACAAAGGCAGGTTAATACTTCAGTTGACCTGATTGGAAATAAAGTATTTTGGACCATTTAAAAAACAATGCTATCACTGCAGGCTTGGATTTTTAGTATTCCCCTGAAAATCACATTTTAGAGAATGAAAATGAGGCACAAACATTAACACCAATTTATCAAATATATAATACTCCATTTGAAATGCCTGAAGCCTCCTTTTTCATCATACTTAAAGAACTTACATTGCCATATATGCTCTGTAAAGCGTTTCCATTAAAGGTGCTTCCAGCTGTGAATATTCATCGCTCAGCACATCAGACCCGATGGCCTCAAGTTGGGTGCTTGAGGAGACAAGGACAGGGGACATACAATTATTGATCAGCTGAAAATGGAGTTTGCTTGATCTGCCTTGTGTAGGAGCCACATGTGTATGGTTGCTCCAAGCTTGTATGGCTGTAAGTGGTGGCAATGAACTTTTTTAATGTAACCCGAGGGTAGCGCTGGGTGGGTGCCCACCCCTGTCGGGTGTTCTCCTCACACAGGCCTGCGCTGTTCCACAGCGTTACGCTACGGCTGGGCTGCCGTGAGGCCCACAGTTAGTAAAGGAAGTGGAATCCCAAACTGTTTACGTTTGGTAAGATGATAACCATGGGAAAACAGGTTCATGATGGGAAGTGTAGTGCAGCAGTTAGCCGTAGGTTAAGTGGGGAGTGTTCTTAGCCAGAGGTGGATGGGGATGGAGGAGCCTGCAACACAGTACACTGTGCTGTGAGCTCAGTTCCACCTAAACTCTCTGAGGGGACGTGGTTGCTCATCATCTGAAGGAAGATGTAATTTAAGGTCTGGAAGGAGAGAATTGCATCTCTAAGGTATTACACTGTTTTGGGTAATGTCATAGGGGTAGAGTTTGTATTAGTGATCGTATAACTCTCTTCCATCTGTTAATTTCAGCTGTTAATTTCCTCAGCTGACATTACATAGACAGGTTTTGTATGCATTTTTACAAAATTTTGAAGAAAGATATTTACAAGTTACTTCTAATTTTCCAGAGGGGGGAAGGAAAAAAAAAAAAAAAGTTGTGTGCTTTCTTGTTCAAGAGAGCTGTGTGATGTGAGCTGAAATTATGCAGGTACCTCTGTATAATACATAGTGTATAGAAACTGTGATTACTTCAGAGCAATATGGCTGCATATACCTACTATGTATAGTAGTGTAAGTTGCAAAACTTTAAATATTAATGAAAAGGTATGTATATGTGATGCCAATGAATAGGGATACTGTAATAGCAATGACATTGCAGATGATTAATCCACTAAGGATGTTAACACTTGCACTGATGGTGTAATTTAAAGGAATTTCTAAGACAGTAAAGCAAGTATATAGCATTCAGCTATTTTGAATTGTAGCTGTATATTTTTTTCTTGCTCTATGCTGGATATAGAGTGATAAAAAATGCAGTGGAGCAAATGCAAGACCTTTGAAAGTGCCAAAGCATCCCTATAGGCAGTTCTGTTTCAATGCATTCTGGTCCTGTGAGGATTTGCCATCTCTTGAAGGTGTTGCGTAGTTGTGTTACACAGCTGGGTGTCAAGGGTGTAGGTTTCTGTCCTCAGTTAACCAATTCTCAGTTAATTAGAGAAGCAAAGCTTTTGCAGGGATAGTAAAACCATAGTTAATTCTGCAAAACCTTGTTTGGCTGTGTGTGCTTGGAAATTATGTTGACTAAAGCACTGCTCCAAACTCTGTATTTTTGTGTAAAACTACAATATTCTCATTGTATCTTTACCTGTTTTTACATGAGTGAAGCTTACGCAATTTTTCTTCTTCAACTACTGTGTGGTGAAGGCAAGCACAGAGCAGCATCTGGTGAATTAGTGAGACAAGTGATTTCTGCTCCCTGGGGACGTGCTGAAGAGGCAACGAGTACCTCGGCCTCCGGCTGTGCTGCTGCCTACAGGGCATAGTTAGAAGTCGTCTGCCCTCTGGTGGTCAACACACCAAAGGAAAGGTGAAGCAGGAAGCCTGACGTGTGGGAGTAATAGTATATTAGGAAACAAAATGAGCAGGGAAGTTAAAAATGAAGAGTTTGTGTAAATAAAGACAAAAATATACATTGTTACATATTCAAAGGTAAGTCAAGTAATAATTAACCTCATTCACGCCACAGTGAATTAACCCAGTAGTGCAAGCATCTTTAAATCTGCATTTGTTAGATATAACATGAAATCTCAGAGTGGTTTGGGTTGGAAAGGACCTTAAAGCCCACCCAGTTCCAACCCCCTGCCATGTGCAGGGACACCTCCCACCAGACCAGGTTGCCCAAGGCCCCATCCAGCCTGGCCTTGAGCACCTCCAGGGATGGGGCAGCCACAGCTTCTCTGGGCAGCCTGTGCCAGGGCCTCACCACCCTCACAGTGAAGAATTTATTCCTTATATCTAATCTAAACCTACCCTCTTTTAGTTTGAAGCCTTGTCCTATCACAACACTCCCTGACACCTCCCCAGCTCTCCTGCAGGCCCCCTTTAGGCACTGGCAGGCCGCTGTCAGGTCTCCCTGGAGCCTTCTCCACAACCCCAACTCCCTCAGCCTACCCCCACAGGGGAGGTGCTCCAACCCTCTGATCAGCCTCGTGGCCCTCCTCTGGACTCGCTCTAACAGCTCCTTGTCCTTGTGCTGGGGGCCCAGAGCTGAACGCAGGGCTCCGGGTGGGGTCTCATGAGAGTGGAGGTAGAGGGGGAGAATCCCTCCCTTGCTATGCCAGAATAAAATATCAAAAAAGGCCAAGAAAAAATGATCTGATACAGTGTTAAACATGCTAAGGCTGGCAGTGTTGTTGAAAGTGTGTGTGTGAGGGAGTATCATTTTGTAGTTCTGTGGTTCAAAAGGCCAATTACAGCTCTATCTTTATTACAATAATAGTCTTCAGTGGTAGCACACTCAAGTTGTGTACGTGCCTGTGCTGAACTAGAATATAGCCGTTCTTACATTTATTCTTCTGTTGCACCATATGAACTAAGTGGGCAGTGCTTTCCTAAACTACTTGCTGTATTTTATGTGTTGCATCAGAAAATAGCAGTGGAAAAAAACCTACTGAAACGGGAGTGAAGGACTTGCAGGTCTCATGGATGGGCACGGTTGTGAATGATGTGGTTTTGTTTGCCAAGCTATGTAGGATGACTCTGACACAGAGCTTATTACCGAAATGAGTGTTGTTCCCACTCCCACCTCCCAGATGTTTTTCACACCATTGCTCTCCTTTGTCCCTTGTAGGTATGGAGAGTGCAATCACGCTGTGGCAGTTCCTTTTGCAGTTGCTGCTAGACCAGAAACATGAGCACCTGATTTGCTGGACGTCTAATGATGGCGAATTCAAGCTACTCAAGGCAGAAGAAGTGGCTAAGCTGTGGGGACTCAGAAAAAACAAAACTAATATGAATTATGACAAGCTGAGCCGAGCGCTCAGATACTATTATGACAAGGTAAATTTTGTTATTCTCATGCAGACTAAGAAAATAGAAACACTACCATTTAATATTTCACCTCTATGTGGACACTTTTAAAAGTTCCCCTAAGTAGTTTTTACAACAGACGATACTGCTGAAAGGCAATCACGGTGAAGGTAAGAGGGCAGCCGAAAGATGCACAGGAAAACACTGCACATCTATTTCCTGGGGTGGGGGGAAGGTTTTCACCTAGGTTGACACTTACTGACGCCTTCATTTGTTTCTGTGTTTGGCTACCCAACATTTTCTGTAGCTTTTGACAACAATAAAATAACTGTTAATAACGGAGAACTGTTTGATTATTACAGCCTGCACAGGATCTTCAGGAATGCAGGGAGGTGGCAGAAAGCAGTAATGCTGTGGCAGAAATGCAGGGAGGTGGCAGAAAGCAGGCAGTGGCAGCTTTAGCGTGGGGTACCACCTATGTTAGAGCAGGGAGAGGACACAAACAACCCAGCAGTATAGAGGGTGGGATGAGTTTTCAAAGTTTTCATGGGACACATCTTTTGGAACATAGATCCTGTTGCCCCATGTTTTAGGTAATCTTTCCTGAGCTTTCCAGTAGACCTTTTTTACAGTTGTATTGGATCTTAATATTTTTTAGCTGGAAATACAACATTGAAACACTTCTAGAATTATTCCGACAGTGCAGCATTACCTCACAAGAATCTCACTGTAACTCTTCATTTGTTATGCTCAGTGTTTCTAGGGTTGGGAAGTTTTCCACCGTATCATTTTAGGACAAAACATGTGTTAGCTTCAACAGTAGCCTAGTTTATATGCTGCTATCACTTAATTAGCAGCAGCATATGCGAGTGAGCACTGATCTGATGTTGAACTGGATGAAAGTGCAGAATGAGAGTAGCAAGCAGAAAGACAAGCAACTGGTCAGATGATGGGGGTCAGCAGGGTACGTTTGGGTGTATTTGTCAAGGTAGCAGTTTCAGTGCTGAGCTCACTTTGGATGAAGACTTTATTTGCAGTAGAATGTTAAATTTACTCCCACTTGTGAATTTATCTTCAGGATATCTCAAGACAAAATAATGGAGTGTGTGCTTTAGGCTGGGTTTCTTTGTCTGATTTATCTCCCCTTGCAAAACCTATTGAATTTTGCCCCTCCTTCATGTTGACAAAAGTGGCCATGGATACATCTGTTGAGGTTTGATAGAAGTAATTTGACCCAAGGAGCAAGCACAATTTAGGCAGCAACCTTGTAACTGGCGAGCTGTGGTCATTTTCTCCTCTCAGAAGTTGGTTACAGACAGGTAGCACAGGCATACACTCAGCGCAGTGTTGCCTGTTAGGGCTCTGTTTTCAACCTCTTTTTAAAACCGAAATCTGAAATATCTTGAACATAATAATCTGAAAGTATTTAGATCAATCAATTTGCTTCAGATTTCCAGAGAACATGCCCATGCCCATAATCTAGGAGGAGTCAGTAGGGGGTACTGGTGGCTGGCACCTCTGAAAATCAAATTTGTGCAGTACTGTGGGAGTTCACAGGATCACTCTCATGAAACCATCTTTCACTTTGACGTTTAGTCCTTAGCATGAACTAAAGTGGCAACAGTATAATAAAGAATACAAATACGAGAGTAGGAAGTAAGCAGAATTTACGTTAGGATTGCAACAACAGAAAGATGACTGAAGAAATCTCTCAGACATGACAAGAAACTAGAAGGAAAAAATTGCAGAACAACTTCTGAGCTGCTAAAATATCTGCATATTCACCTTTTTCAGTTTCAGGCTCAGAACTGAGCTCAAAGTATTGTTGTCATGTATTATTTTAGTGCACTAATTCTCAAAGTGCGCAGTGGGACTAAGTGCTGTGCAGCAAGTCCAATACAAAACCAAAAACCATGTCGATTGCAAATTAACTTTGCACAATTTTCTGAGCAACATTTTTGTTCCTTGCAGTGGAATTTGGAAAAACCCTGTATGAAACTGTAAGAATTTTCATAGCAGATTTAGAGCTCTAAGTTTTGCAATAAAATGTTTTTAGTATTTTGTCTGCTATAAGTCAGCTTTTTTCACTTAATATCTTTCAAAGGTGGCCTACCTGAGAAGGCACAAAGGGATTCAGAGAGGACACTGCAGCGGCTGTTCCAGGCAGTTGGGATGATGAATTCCTCTTCACAAAGTGCTAAAAAGCTTCTGCTCAGCATGGGGAAATCCACTTCTTTATATGACTCCAACCCCTCTGATTATAAACTTGATTGGGATCAGTGGGGACAGAGAGCCTGGTGGTGAATGAACAACACACCCAGACAAAGCCCAAATACACAGTTAGTGACTGATCGGACATTGCTTGAAAATAAGGGACAATAGAGTGTAGCGCTTGTCCTCTGAGATCTCTCTGATCTCTTCAAATCAAAGGAATGCGATGGCTCTTTACTTGAGCCTCGCTTTCTTCTTTTGTCCCTTAACCTATTTATTTTTTTTAGCCTTGTACTGATTTCAGTTGCTTGCCCACCACCACCTGCATCACAGACGCACACCTTTGTCACCTCCTTTGTCTCCACTGCGTGCAGCACCTGCCGGAGGAGTGGCTGTACAGTCTCTTCACCTGGGTGCAGTGACTGCTCACTGTTCTTACATCTGCGCTCTCCTCCATCTGCTGATTTTACCTAGGTGTGGCAAAGGATTTTGGCCATTTTTCCAGGAGTTTTGCAGCCCAGTGGATACCGGGGCTCCTGGGTGGAAAGGAGGATAAGCTCTTTCTTTCCCATGTATTGTGATCTGGGCTCAAACCCCAACCCAAAAATGTTCCTGGTGCTATTTAAGAGGAAGGAGCAACTCCTTTCTGCGTGGGTTTGGCATGTTTTGTCCCACTGGCTTCACAGGCAGTGCAGAAAGCTGGATTATTACGAGGGTGCAGAAGGACAGGGAGCCTGCTGCAGGTTTCAAAGTGTGCGAGACAGTGGCATAAACCAGCAAGTTATGAATCCTGTTAGGCTGTCAAGGGAGTGCTCAGCAGTTGATTCAGTCTTGTTGAATCAAATCCTCTGCATTTGATTCAGTTTATGCTGCAGAGCACAGAAGGGGAGGAAGTTGAGGAGGGGAAGAAAGCCTCCGTCATTTTCCTTTCCTTTCTGCAAAACAAAAGGGGAAGGGATGGTGAAGTGAAAGAGCCTGTCTTGGACTTCCGCACTCCTCTCTGCTGGGCTGTTCACTGATCTGTGGGACAACCCATGAGGAGTCTGTACTCTGAGGTAGCCTTAAGGAGCCTTCTGAGATCCTTGTCACCTCCTATGCTGCTGGCAGTGATTGATGTGTTGGCAGCCCGATGTGCTGGGGCAAATGGGATGAGCATTGCGCTGCAGTCAGGAGCAGCTGCAGGAAAGGAAAGTGGCAGAACTGTTGGACAGCACCACGTTTGGGTTGTGGCCTTGTATCTACCGGGACATCCCTACCTATAACCCAGATGACCTGGCAGCACGTGAGTTTGAGGGAAAAGCAGTGATTTTTTAGTGGTGCTGGTGGCCCACGGGATGGGCCTGTCTTTCTTGGGCTGCCCTCTGCTGCTGCATGCAGCTGACGCTAAGCTCCATGGTTTTTCTTTGAAATAATTCACTGTGGAGAAATAAAAACTGATCGGTGGATAAATGGAGGTTTATAAGCTCTGCCATTTTGCTCGGGGGGAACACTGCCTTGTTAAAATTCATCATCTGATTCATCTTGAGTTAAAAGCAAATTAATTCCAGTGGAGAAAAATAACACAATTAGGGCAAGTTCCTCAGCTTGGCTTTGAAAGCAAGCATGATGTGCTGTTGAGGCTGATGGCTGGTTTTATGTTAAATTCACATATAAAGCACCCCAGGAAAGGTATAGCATGGCATGTCTCACTTGTAATTTGCTGCTGCGTTTTTGGTCACTCTAGGTATCCGTTTCCCTCTTCATTTGTTACCCAAGTTCCCCTCCCCCCTTTTTATTTAATGTATTTCCTCAATTGCCTTAACAAAGCAATGGCACAGATGGCAAATAACACTAAGGAAAGGAAGGCTTCCTGCACCATCTCTACCTACAGCTTGAGCAGCATGTCCGTCATAACACACACTGGGGACAGGCACAATGCCTCTTGTAATGCTTCCAGGCAAGGAAACCCTTCGCATATATGCTCATGCAGAGCTCTTTTTCTTGGTGTGTGAAACCAAAATACCTTTTTAAGTTGTATTAGTGCCTTTCTTATGGGTAAAGTTGCCCAGGTACTCTGTTATTTTGATAACCAAATGATAGATACCTTTTGAAGTCTCTGGAGGTTTCAGGACAGGTAAAGGTCCCCATGAATATTACAAGATAACATTACAAGAGAGAAGCTAATGAGTTTTCCCCACAAGGTGTGTGGTTTTTGTTTTTTGTTCCTTGTTTTTTTTTTTTTTGAGGGAAGAGGGACAAAGCCAGGGAATTGCCTGCAGGTAGCCCCATTATTAGGATGTTACAGTTGTGGAAGTCAAGTCTTCAAAAATTAGGAAAGTTAAGAAATACCAAAGTCGTAGTTCTCTGCGTAACTTCAACGTTTGCATGAGTTATGCTGCATCTTTAATTACACAGTCATATATCGCTGTGACAAGCACAACAATCCAATATTTTTGCATCCTCTCTGAACAGGCTGTGGCCCTAGGCTTTATTCAATGACTGCTATTCAATCTGTCTTCTAAAGACAGAATAAATCATTTTAACTTCGGTTAATGGCTACCCTCTTATTTAGATGGGCTGGCAGCGTGATGTATAGTACATAAATAGTAAGGCTTCTTGTTTATGCTCGGTGCAGCAGAAGGCACGGAGCTTCTCAGGTGCTCAGGCTTCTGAGGTACCCGTGGCCATCCCTCCCTCCCTAACAGGTCAGAGCCCATAGCCGGGTCAGTAACTCCAATTATTAATGCCCAAGTGTGGGTGGCAGCATGGAAGATTTGTCTCGGGAAGAGGGTCTCTTGCTTGGTCTGCTTGCAAAACTTAAGGATATAAAGAGGTAGCAGAAATTATTATTTTACTTTTGCAAAGGTCTTCCCTTGAGTTAGCTCAGGGAAAAACAAGGTTTCAGTGATACAAGCAGGATGACGGCGCTAGTGTGCCAGCTACGCGTTTTGCAGTGGTACAGGTAAGAGGTATTCTGAGGAAATACTTGAAGGAACTTTAGAAAATAGCTTTATGGAGAACTGAAACGAGCTTCTTTTGAGAGTGGTAGGGGGAAATCAAGAAAGTGCTTGTGTAAAGTGACGTAAAAGTAGTTCATGGGTGCTTTCCTCAGGGAAAGAAGGGAGTAAGGAGTTCGATATGGAATAGGAGGTGGTGGGTAGAGGAGGAAACCAAAGAAACCCCCCAGAAGGAATGACAACTAGTTCTTGTTTGCTGTGAGAGGAAAGGGAAGCCTAGTGAACTGCGGAGAGAGCAGAGCACCTGCCCAAAGCTGCCAGGCAGGAGTGTGCTCTTTGCCTTCCCGGTGGGGTGAGGACAGATTGACACCCAGCTTGTGAGAGCCGTGCACTCACGAAGGTCAGTGCAGGTGCACGGTCAGCTTTCACCTGTGCCTACATCAAAAATCACAAAAAAGCATCTGGCTTATGCACGCACAGTACAATAAGTGTAAGGGCATGAAGTATGATAAGATTCTGCCTGCCTGCACATGCTGACGTGGACACGTGCCCCATTTTTTGGAGCATTGCAGCCACAGCTACCTCCTGCCAGCTTACGTACTTCAGGCATGGGAGTGTGAATATTTCCTAGCTTCCTGCCTTGTTTTTGTGCTGTTCATGGTAATTTTGCCATTCAGAAAGAGGAGGCAATTATTCCACCCACAAGTTCTGGTAGAATCTTAATCATGTGGAAGACAGAGGGAAGACTTCATAGCCTAAATATCCCCATGATGTTGCATCCCTGCAACTCTCAGAGCCAGGGAACTTGCGACACATCCAAACGGGAGTTAGGTGCAGCAGCTCTGGCCCTTCTTCTTTCCCAAGCAGAGTCCTTTTAGCACCTAGGGACATGTTCATCCCGTTCTGAAACAGATTTGGAGATCTCAGGCACCCTGACTCAGTTCCTGGGAGGAGGAGAAAGTGCCCCAGTCTGTCTTCCTGCCCTGGGACCCCTTGTCAGTCTGAAGTTCAACTGGGAACTGAGTCCCAGTCTACAGCTCATGCTCCTAGAAGTTCCTGCAGCCAGCAAACTTGTGAGCTAACAGGTTTGAGTGAAGCCACTAAAATCCTTGCATTGCACTGGTAGTATAGTTATGCCTTAACTCCAAGTGACTTGGACAGGGAGTAGGAGAGCTGATGAAAATAAAAACACAATAATATGATAGAGGAACTAGAGCCCGGATTGCACTGATACACAGAAAAACAGGGAAAAAGAAAAACAGAAAAAGGAAATCTAGAGGTCATGCTCTGTTGAGATGGACAAACAGCTCACGTGTATATTGGCAAAAAGGATATTCCAAAAGTAGTGCATGCACATAGTCATCACAACCCCCCACCTTGGCCACACCATAGCCTGGGCCCCAGCTCCCTGGCATGCTGGCGGGCTGGAGCCAGGCAGCGACGTGCCCAGCTGGCAGCAGCAGCCTTCAGAGCGCGGCACGATGGAGGACGGCCACCTTTGCTGTGGTCACCATTTCACAGGCTGGGACAGAGGAGGGGAAGCAGTAAAGGGAGCAAGGGGATTAAACCCGTCAAGATGCACACAGGAGAGGGGAATTCCCAGCCCCTGCCTCTCTTCCAGAGTCAGAGGGTGATCTTAAGAGGTTTTTAAGCTACCAGTTTCTCCTCCATAGCAGCTGCACTGGCCTGGCAGTCGCCGTCCCCAGCAGCAGTCCTGGAGCATCCCACAGCCCTGGCCAGCAGCCCTGGCACTCGCTGCCAGCCTGCTTGTGGGTGATGTCCCTAGAAAATCCAGACAACAGCAAAAAAGGGCTAAAGGAGCACATACGCCTATTGTCCTGCTACGAAGTGGTCTAGTCTCCCGTCAAAAGCAGTCCTTAATGTAAGGAAACCTTCATTGCCTTTTTAACCCAAAGGTGGAAAAATCCCATTCATCATGATGCCCATCACCATCCTCCCTGGTGTGAACCATCTTCTGCAGCTCAGAGTGATTCTGACAGATCACGGAGGTGATGGTAAAAATAAGCTGCTTTTTACCTTCACTTCAATTATTTATCAAAAAAATTTCAAAATGACAGCAGCATTTCAGAGGCAGTTAATTAATTTGCATCTTTATTTTCTCTTACATGTTGTTGGAGATTTCCTCGGGCTCCACATTTAAGAGAAGCCTGCAAAATGCTCAAGGGGTTTGCACTTGCATCCTTTTCATCTGCAGCCATCATTAAATGGGCTCGCCGCAGGTGTATGGAGACAGAAGAGCCGTACCAAGAGACCTTCTGAAAATATAACGATATTTAATAACAATAGAGGAAGTATAAACTCACCAGCCCATTCCATTGCTTTTTATAACAATGCGCCCTTGTTTGAAGCCTGCACCAGTTGCACCCTTTGATATATTTAATCCTGTCCTTTTAGGAGTCAGCATTTTCCAAGTAGAATCTCAGTTGCCTGTGCTTGATGGAACAATGACTCCAAGGGATGGGATTATTTTAAGTTAAAGTGTATATATTAAAAGAAAAAAAAATCCAGCTCGGATGTTTCTTCTCATATGTGAATAGTTTGCAGGTTTTGTGTTTATAACGAAAAATATAAAATTGAGTTCGTAAATGAAACCGCACAGAAAAAGTGTGTCCATCTAATGTTTCACCTAATTAGCGCCCAAAAAAAATCTAGGTCAAGGCCAAAGCTATGGGAATTAAAGCTCATGCAAAATTAGATTCTGTGGGCTAAATATCTGTCCTGAAATTTTGGAGTGCACGGGAGGATAACCTGGGTGGGCAGATGTGAGTACAGGCTCAGCTTGGAAGAGGGCAGTTTTGTGCCTTTACCCTGAGCTCACCAAATTCACTTCTCCCTGCTGCGGATTCCACTTGTAAGCTTGGGGAGCAGCTTTTGCTGTGCTGCAGCTCCTGGCCTAGGGAGAAAAGCTACATCCCAGGGCTCGCTGTGGGATTCATTTTGTATTCAGGAAGGTGCCTGAATGAAGTGCCAGCATGCTCAGACAGAACAATTATGGGGTGGAGTAGTTCAGTTGAAAGACAGAAGACAATCTGATACAGAACTGCAGACTCTTCCTCGTAATCAGCCTTCATTTTGTGACAAAAAAAAAAAAAGATGTACCTCAGGCACTGTGAACACCCAGAACTAGAACTTGTCCATATATAAATAGGGGGGATGTATTCCTTCCTTCCCTTTCCCCTTCCCCTTCCCCTTCCCCTTCCCCTTCCCCTTCCCTTCCCCTTCCCCTTCCCCTTCCCCTTCCCTTCCCTTCCCCTTCCCCTTCCCCTTCCCCTTCCCCTTCCCCTTCCCTTCCCTTCCCCTTCCCCTTCCCCTTCCCCTTCCCCTTCCCCTTCTTCTTTCATTTTCTCTTCTTCTTTCATTTTCTCTTTTTCTTTTCAATCAATACATGTTTTCTCTACTGGTCTCAGAATCTGTCGCTGAATGTAAAAAAATAGATTGTTAGGAATTATGTAAATATTTACATGCCCTTACTTACAGGAAAGCATGTGTCTGTTTGCAGAGTACTAGGGGGAGGTACAGCAGGTGTGTGCCCCACAAGGGGGTCAAGTCTTGGAATGGGTTTTTAAGAGGACGCTCCCGGAGAAGCTCTGCAGCAGGGGCTTCAAGAAGAGAGAATCACAGTCGCTCCTGAAACCTCAGGAAATAGCGCTCCTTGTTTTTCTGCAGTTTCAGTAGCCAGTCTAGACTGATGGAGGCCTGGAGCTAGCAGAGGGGATACGTCAGGACACAAGCGATTGCGTTTGTCATGGACGTAGCTCAGGACTGCTGAAAGAAATGCAGTCACTGTCGGTGCACGTCAGTCCTGCATGTGGGCAGGAAGGGAGGGCTGGTGATCAGAGCAGGCAGGCTGTGCTTGCTTTGTCCTTTGCAGACATTTCAGGAGAGGGTTTCATACTCCCAAGCAATGGGTCTGGGTTTTGGGAAGCACAAATGAAGGTGTTTGCCACCGTGGTGAAATCAAATGTCTGAGTGGCTTGAGCCTGCAAGGTGGCAAAACTATTCTTACTGTAAAGAAATTGTTCCCAGGGTGCCCCAGATGAAGCAGGAGGAAGCCAGGCCCCAGCAGCTCTTTGTCACCTGGCGGTGGTGCCTTGTCTGGAGGAGATGGCCTCTGTGGCTGAGCAGGGGCATGGGGACAGGCCGAGGGGCCCTGCTCAGCCTGAGGCGGTCACAGTGCTCCCCTGCCCTTGTGAGACCCTTCGTGTTTGCTGCCCCCAAGATACTGATCTTCCTAGCGTCTGCTTTTGTACTTGCAGAACATCATCAAGAAGGTGATCGGACAAAAGTTCGTGTACAAGTTTGTCTCGTTCCCTGAGATTTTAAAGATGGATCCACACGCCGTGGAAATCAGCAGGGAGAGCCTTTTGCTGCAGGACAGCGACTGTAAGATGGCCGCCGAGGGCAGGGAGGCGCACAAGCACAGCTTGTCGGCACTGAAGAGCACAAGCCGCAATGAGTACATCCACTCTGGCCTCTACTCCTCGTTCACCATCAACTCTCTGCAGAACCAGCCAGACACTTACAAGCCAATCAAAACAGAAAAGCTGGAGGAGAAGTCAGAAGGGAACACACCGGTCGAAGAAGTGCGGACTGTCATAAGATTTGTGACAAACAAAACAGACAAACAAGTTATGAGGCCCATGGTGTCGTTGCCTTCCACCTCCGAAACAGCAGCTGCCTCTGCTTTTCTCAACTCGCCCGTATCAGCCAAAATCTCTTCCTTAATGCTACCAAACAGTGCCAGCATTTCATCTCCATCGTCATCTTCCTCCAGGTCGCCGTCCCTGTCTCCCACCTCGCCCCTCCCTGCGGAGCACAGGAGCCTCTTCCTTGAGTCCAGTTGCCACGACTCAGATTCCCTTGAGCCGCTGAACCTCTCCTCAGGCTCCAAGGCAAAATCGCCATCTCTTCCCCCAAAGGCTAAGAAACCCAAAGGCTTGGAAATCTCAGCCCCACCTATGGTCCTATCCAGCACTGATATCGGTTCCATTGCCCTCAACAGCCCTGCGCTTCCTTCAGGATCCCTGACTCCAGCTTTCTTCACTGCACAGGTAAGCCCTGCCAGCCTCAGGGTGCTCTTGCCTGAGCCAGCTCTCCCTCAGTTTGGCCAAGGCCAGTAGCGCTAGGAGCTTGTTGTCATCTGGCAGCACACGGGGAAGAGGAAGACACAGCCCAGGTCTGAGTGGTGTGTGGAGAGCGGGTTCCTCGCAGCACCGTGCTCCCGGGGTGAGCATGAGCATGGAGAGCCACACCACAGGGTGCCTGGGGGATGCCGAGATGGGCAGCCGCTAACACGAGCAGATCTCTTACCAAGGGAAATCAGCCTCTAGGTCTGCAAAACAAGCAGAAAAAAAGCCAGGAAGAAAAACACAACACAGGGGTTTTGTTGCTCAGAAACTGAGTGTGCGTGCTGTGGGGTGCCTGGTTAGATTTCTCTACTGTATGTTGTATCCATTCAAAAAGTGTGGCATTTTCATTAGGTTTCAAATAGGGAGCAAATTAATTGGTTTCTAAGACAGGCTTTTAAGCCAGTTTTGATTTCCAAAGTTTTACAGGTCCACAGAATACTTGCCAGAGCTGCCGTTCAGTACAGACCTACTGAATACCTGGTAGGTTATCCTGTTCTTATAAAATAGCTGTCCATTAATCATTTATTTGTGGTAATGTCAATGAGTTCTCATTTGCAAGCAAGCCTGTGGAAGAAATCTAGTAATTTAGAGGGCAAGAGGAAAATCACGTAACAGAGAGTGAGTGATCTGGTGTGTTCACCTCTTCGCTGTTCTGAGTGGTGTCGTGTGGCCTCATGGCTGTGTCCTGGGGCACCCGGTGTGCCCACACAGCGTGACACCCTCCCCGCAGGAGGCAGAGCAGCGACCAGCACGCTCGGCCAGCACAGCTCCTCCAGCCCGAGCTGGTTGTGGGGCAGCTCACACACCCGCAGGCCACCGAGATAGGGGCTGTGCCACAAAGGAAGAGAGATCTGTGGGCTGCTGCCTGCCATTTGTGTGCACCGCCAAGCCTCCCAGTGCTACTGTGCACAGCAGGAAGAACAGGAGTGTGGCAAACCAAAACAGAGGTGCATTGACAGGCTCGTATGGCCTCGATCTGTGGCGTAACCACAGTAAGTAGTTTGCTTGCGGGGAGCAAATTTCACAAATCCTATCAGATGCCAACTAGACACAATGACAGCGTGTTATTACAAGCTTGCTTTAATTTGTTGCTACTCCAGAACTCAGTACGATGAGTGATTTCTGTCCTCATTTTGTGATTGTTTCTTTGAACACTTTGTTTTCTCATTCATCTCTGAACCAGAGTACTTACTACTCCTCAGAGTCACAGAAGGGAATTATGCTGCTGTTGCCCTCCTTCAGAGGGCTTCAGAAAGCTTCTCATTTATCTCATTTTGCTGGTCAGGAGCAAAGCCCTCAGGTGGAGGTAGCCCTGTGGAAGAGCACCTGATTTGCACAACCAATTCAGAATAGAGAAGTGAGATCTCAGGACACTCCGCACAATGCTTGAGTGAGAAATGTCAGCTTTTCTTTTGGTTAGCTTTCAATGAGAGCTATTTAGATTTTGTTTCCTATTTGTTCCACCACTAAACCATGCTACTAAGTTCTACATCTACATCTTTCTTGAAGACCTCCAGGGGTGATGACTCAACCACTTCCCTGGGCAGCCTGTTCCAACGCCGCACAACTCTTTCAGTAAAGAAATTTCTCCTATATTTCTAATTTCAACTAACTTCTCCTAGTTGCCTTTATCTGGCAGCTGGGAGGGACAAGGAGGGCTGTGCTCACATGCAGGCTCTTGCAGAGATGTCTGGAGCTGGGAGCATCGCTGCTGAGCTTGGTCCTCTCTCTGCGCTGTTACCTCCATTTAAGCTAGTTTATAAAGAGGGTTTAAGCAGGCACTTCCTGCTGGTTTTCACATCCAGCACCAGAGGTATAGCTATGTGAGGGCAGAAAAGGAGGGATACACCAATTTCCACATGTAACTCGAGGCCAGCTGGTGCTGTGGTGTGGTTTACACTTGTTTTCCTCGGGTGGCTTTGATGCTTGCCTGATGGTGACACTGAGAACACCCCCGGAAGGCACTGTGCTCTTTTCGCATGAAATATTAACAGACTCGGAGGCTCGCTTTGGCTGGCTCTTGGCTCTGGCACAACTTGCAGATAGAAGCACAAGCAGACTTTTCCTTTCCCCATAGTACCACGTTTTTGTTGCTGCCTGGGACACAGCTGTGGTTTCTGCCGTGTGGTGCTGTATTCACGCTCCACCTGCTTCAGCACGAGGGAGATGGCAGTGCCCTTCCCCTTCACATCTCTCCCTCTGCTTTTTTTGAGATGCCTCAGAGAAATCAGCCACTTAGAGAGCAGCCAGGCTCCCAGATACCTCGGGACAGAAGCACTGGGAGGCCCTCGAGGCTTGCTGCTCCTCTTCTCTCCCTTTCTTCTCCCCTGGCGCTGTTACCTGAATTGTCTGACCCTGCTCTGAACTCAGCTGTGAGCACGTCAGAGCAGGACCGTGTATTGCTGGGCCTCTGCACAGAGCCTCGAGCAGCACAGCGGATCCCTGGGGTGCTGCTTTGCAAGTAAAACACCCGTCGTGGTCTGGAGCAGAGGTAACCTGTGCTACCTGCCACTCTGATGCTGCTCTTCACAGCGACCCAGCAGCAGCAGCTGGTGGGCTGGGTGGTGAAGCGAGACCCCAGCTGCATTGGCCACGTGTGGGAGGCAGAGCTGGCATTTCTGGCCGGGCAGGTGGCTGGCAGACACCAGAGTGCACGACCTGCTTGCCACTCCTTGTCTGCTGTCTTCTCTCTACCTATTTTAAAGGCTGCCCCAGCACACGCACCTGCTTGCTAAGTGTGTGCCCGAATTCCATTAAACGCCTTGCTGAATGGGACCTGAGCTTGGTAATTGGCATTGAGCTTACTGTGGAGATTAATTCATTATGCCAAATACTTTGTTCAGAACTGTCACATCACTTTCATGTTCTTCTTTGTGAAGATAAAAGTTACTCTGGGTACTGGAATAATTTATGTGACTTTGAACAGGGATTTGCATGTCCTTTAACTCCACCAATTGTGCTTTGGAAGTGCTGAGAGTATCCGCAGCTCTCAGGTGTGCACCTGTGACATGGGAAGGCACCATCCCTAGAGTTGGGAATACCCTTGGGTGCGTAGTTTTGGGGTTCTTAGTTGTTGTCAGCTGTTGTGAATGCTGCAGGGATGCATCACGGGGTGTTTTTTTTGTCTTGCCAGACCCCAAATGGATTATTGCTGACCCCAAGCCCGCTGCTGTCTAGCATTCATTTCTGGAGCAGCCTCAGTCCCGTTGCTCCTCTGAGTCCTGCCAGGCTGCAGGGACCAAACACTCTGTTCCAGGTAGGTCTTCCTAATGCACGGGGTTCGTGTGTGAAAATGCATGTGGAAGAGACTGTCAGGGGAACATCTCACATCTCACATTGGTCTGGAGCTTTTCAAATGGTTTGAGAAAATGCAGGAGTTGGTGGGCATATTTAAGAGAGGCCTGTTTGCTTACACCCGCTTGGCAGCACAGCCAGACCCTCCTGGGCAGTGTTGGTAGCGCAGCAGGAACGTACTTTTTGAATGAAGGAAACAAATAAATGCAGGACCTTAGGATGAGTGTGTAACTGAGCCCCCAGGGCTTCGGGGAGAGAGCACCATTCAGGCAGGGACTGGCCAGGAGAGCAGTGGAGCAAGGACTCTGGAAAAACCAAGATCAGTTTGGGTCTCTTACAGCAGGTGGACATAGGTTCAGTCTTCTGTCTTAATGAGATAGTTCTCTCCCAGGAAGACAGGACATGGTTGTATTTAAAGGAAGGGCACTCTGAACCTGAAGGCTCCGTTTCCAGTTCTGATAAGTATCCAGGTGTCCACAGACTGGCTACTTCAGCTCTCTGAGCACTACCTTTCCATGTGTAACAGGAGAAAAGCGGCGTTGTCCTCTCTTGTGGATACTGGGAGCAAAAAAAATAATCTCAGTTTTCTAGCAATGCAATAAATCAGAAAGGTATTAAATAAACAGTGATGGCTGCAGAGCTCAGGGGCAGCATTTGTTCGAGGCTGAGGAAGGGAATCATGGGGATGGTGCTAGCAGCTCCAGCTGCCACGAAACAGCTGATTCATTCGCTCACAGAAGTTATGCTGATCAGCTAATTGGCAGGAAGCACAAGAAGCTGGTGGCAGGCCATGTGGCTGCAGAAGGCAAGGAAACCCTTGGAAGTAAATCCCCAAATGCTGTGACTGACCAGCACCAACACCGGAGGGGGCTGCTGCGGAGCTGAGACCTGCTTTTAGTTTCTGAACCTTGCCGGAGCCTCTGGGGCTCGGCTTGAGCTCAAGAGCTCTGCTCAGGTGGGGTGAAACAGCCTTCTGCCTCCAGCGGGAGCCCTGCAGCTGCGTTTGTTTTCACCTGAGCTGAAAGAGCATTTGTTCAGCGTTAGAGGAGCCAAAATCCTGCGAGCAGCTGGAGGCTGGCGCAGCGCTGCAGCTGGGCCTGCTGACTGACACAGGGGTGAGAGCAGGCTCGGGTACGTCGTCTTCTTCCAGGTGCCTGCTGCTTTTTGTGACAGTGCCGTGCCTGGCACTGGCTGCAGCTCTTCAGCGTTGGTATTTTTGTAGTCTAAGGACCAGGATGGGATCCATCCACGTCCGCAGTCTGACTATGACCACACCTATGGGAGCGTGGCTCCCTGCCTTAACGGGCCAGGAAGAGTTGTTCTGGCACTGCTGGGCACAACTACATGGATGCTCCCTCACCGAGTCCATGGATGCTTATTAACTGCTAAAAATCCTCCTTCAGTGCTTATGAGGTGAAAGCAACCCCCAAACACCACCGCCCGTGCCCCTCTTCCAGTGCTTGTGGAACGTCCCTGAACGCTGCAGCCTCCTTCACACAACTCACCTTGGAGCCCTGACCTGCCTGGAAAGCCTCCCCTTTGAAGCCATACTGTTGTGTAATGAAACTTAATTGGATGTTTCATCATGAGCTGGAAATTACCACATAACTGGAACAGCGAGAGACCTGCGCGGAGTTGATTAATTCAAGAAAATGTGGCTGAACTTTAGCAAGTTAGCCTGAATTAAGCACTGCCACAAGAAGCTATTTTATTTGTTTCTGCCGTAGTGAGGGGTCAGCCACGTCCCAGGCCCCAGGGGCCACGGAAGCAGCAGAAAGAAGATGAGGGCAGCTGGGTTGGGGTGGAGAGCAGGGGAAGGGTGCGACTGAAACATCACCGTGGCTGGCATCTCAGCGGTGCCAGCCAGCCCCCGGCCTCGACAGACACCTGAGATCACAAAACCCTCTTTTTGATAACTTTACGAGGCACATCAGGCATGGTGTAATATATGTGCCTCGCTCAAGAGGAATAGACTAGAAAAGCAAGAGCTCATCATCAGGTTCTGTGCTGTGATAAACGTCGGCAGAAGCGACATTAAGGTGTCCCCAGGCCTTGTCAGGCCAAAGTCAGTCCCAGCTGCTGCTCCACTGGCTGCTGCCCAGCGCTGGGCCATGGCTGTCCCTGAAGTCAGGAGCGCTGCTCCTTGGCCCTTCTGCTCTCAGGGCTGTAGTGACCGGGAGCTAAGGCCTCATGGAGTCGGCCCCAAGGCAGACGAGCGCCTATGGATGGCACAATCCCCGCCTGACGCTGCAGCAAGCCCGCTGCACCTCCCTGCCTGCTGCACCTTCCTGCCTGGCCCTTCCCCAGCCCAGACGCTGAGAGCTGTCAGCACATGCCAGGACTGCATGGGTTAGTTAGTGAGCAAATCCTCTCTGCAGAGCATGTCAGAAGTCGAGCGTTAGTACTAAAGTGCAGTATATTCTGCCTTATCTGGTCTGGCGTGGCTAGCGGACAGCCTCTTAGTGAATACTGACATAAACTGTAACTGCTTGAGAGAAATTCTCCTCATGGTTCGTGTTCACAATTGTGCTTCTTCTGTCCTAAAGCTACATCTTGACTTTCACTTTTACAAAGAGCTTTTCTGCTTAACTTCTCTGAAGGGCAGATGAAAAACATGGATTTTAATTACTGTTCTGTAGACTAAGAAACATTTTTGGAAGCAGAATGGATGGCAAACATTTCTCTCTGTGATTAACTTTCCCATCGTGATTACAGCTGTATTGTTATGTCAACTTTGATATGAAATATAGCCAATAATAGGCTCATACATCCCTGCACACTGAGAAGTTATCCAGGTTCCATCCTCTGCTTCACATTCCTGATGTCTGATGCAGGCGTTTGGTATCCATCGTACTGTACAGCAATCACAGGCCTTGAAAACATCTGGAGTCGGTTGCTAATGCTAAATGCATGTGCTTTGGGGCTGAACGCTTTGAGATAAAGACTAATTTTATTTTTTTTTATTTTATTTTTTACCTTTTGGCCTCTTACAGTTTCCAACTCTGCTAAATGGTCACATACCAGTGCCACTCCCCAGTCTGGACGGAGCCTCCTCTCCAGTACTGCTTTCTCCAAACTGCTCAGAAATCCTGATGATGCCTCATTGCGTTAAGGACTTTTTGGTGGATTTAACACTTCATTCCTATGGGCTAGTTTTTCCTGTGTCATGAGAAGGACATTGTGAAACCCTCTATTACTTTGGTTTGCACTTTTCATTACATGGATAATCTACTTTTATTATGTTAGCATTTTTTAAACAGTGTTTATATATAAAAATATATATAAATCTGTTTTGCATTAAATGAATTATAATTTTTTTTATATCATAGCTCTCAAGTGTTGAACACTTCTGTTGTTGATGAAGTACTTTTTGTAATGGATTGCAACAATGTATCTAATAAGGATGTGAAGCTTCTTTTTAATACCTTTTTCTGCATATTATGCATTGTGCTTGTGTAAACTATAACCGGCTGTGCCTTCTTTTGCATAATGTCATGTAAATGATTTATATATTTTCTAGTATTAAGATAAAAAGTTGAAAGACAAAACTAGTATTGAACAGCCCTATGGTAGTATTTCAGTATTTTCTCCACGGATAGGCTGTATGATGCAGTGTATTCATGTAACTTTGTATTAAGTGCTTTCAAATTGTATAAAAATAGCCTTATAATTTTTCTTTGCTGAAGTGAAAAACGTAATAAATGTTACAGTCAGGAGATGTATTTAGGAGTAACAAAGCCACATTTACGCCCAAATTCTTCTGTGGAGTTGCAACAGGGAGGAACTGGGCTTTGTGTATTCACAAAACATTTCCAGCATTTGAAAACACTTCTGTAGAAAAGAAGAACGTTGCTCAGAATTTATTTGGCATATACTTCTTACGAACTGTCGACATTACAGCTGGAAAGACTGCAGGTGATCTCTGTCCTCCCAGGGAATGAGGATCGTTCCCGATAGAGAATTTCCAGGTGCTTTGTTCAGTCGTGCCAAGTGCCTTCTACCATTTCCCTGGAAAGATTCTTCCAGCTACTAAAGCTGAGAAGGTCACATTTCCCCTTCCCCGAAAGCTGGAAAAGTTACAGGACTGTAAATTAATGTCTGGTGCTTGTAAGGAGGCATACTGTACATGTGGGATGTTTATGTATAAACATCTGAATTCTGGATTAAAAAACAGCACTGTGTTACCATATACTTGCAACTTGAACCTACGAGGTATGTCCTCTACCTTGAGGTGATGCTTTAGTCATCTAAATGTCAGGTTAGGATGAGGCTAGACTCCCTGGCACCACAGATTCTAATCTTGGCAGGGCTGATGCAAATCGTCCGTTTTCTGAGGTGGCTAAATTGGATTGAACGCCGTTTTACCATGTAGGTCTTTCAGATGAGACCTTCAAAAACCAAACCAAAATCAGGATCCTGTTTGCTACAGGTCATTAGAGCCTCTACTTTGTTTTCTGGCCAAGCAGCTGGTCAAAAGTCCATTCGTTTTGAAACCTATGCAGTGAGTTGTCTGCTGATTTTCTGCTTGGATGCATTTCAGTGATGATGTGTGTAGTTAATTGTAAAGTGCTTTTGGATCCTTCTACCTGAAAGGTGCTAAATAAACATTTTATTACTGCAGTTCTGATGTTGAGAAGCCGTTTTTTGGGCAGAGGTAGTCTGACAAAAGGGACCAGGAATTTTTCTCAGGCACCTGGGTTGCACAACCAAAAACGACTCTTGGTTTCACTCGGAGTAATTAACTGACTAAAAAACTGCCATATCTGCATGAAACACCAGCGCTGATAAACAGCACTAAGATGCAGGACATGAGGAAAAAGAATGAAACAAATGGGAAGTCATTCACTTGATTCAGCATTTTAAGAGCTCCAAGAAGTACCATCCCATGGAGTCGAAACCAGAAGATGAGCTTAGAAAATTTATGAGTGAAGGGATATTTTACACTAAGAAAAGTCAGAATAGGTTGGAAGAAAAGGCAGCACATAACTAATGAGATTGACTAGTCTGGTGGAGGTTAAATCACGAGGGCTCGCAGGTCAAACATTTCCCTTTCAACAAATGAATCCTCCCAGCTACGTGGAATATTTTTCAGTAACTAAGTTACACAGAAGCAACTATTCACACTCAAGAGCCAACAATCTTCTCGTTTTTTAAAAAGCATAAACGCCTACTCCAGTAGTCTCGCCTTGCATATAACCAGTACAGCTAATGGGAGAACAAGACATGAAGATGAAGTGCTTCTCACTGTGAATTAAAAAGTAATGACAAATACTCATGAAAATTTAATCTTTGAATTAATAAAAGGTATTGGATACCACACTGAAAAAAAAAACAACAAACCAACAAACAGATTAAGATGAGAGGAAGAAGTGCATAACAGAGAAGAGATTCTTAAAAGAAAAAACACCCAGATTCTCTTAATTATGTTTCTTCCAAGGTTTTATTGTTAGCAAGGCAGAATCTTTCTTTTTGGAAAGCTCAACACCGCTCTACCGCCCTCCCCCCTCCCCCCCCACCTTCCAATATGCACACCCTTGAATAACTTTTCTTTTAAAAATAAATAAAATAACAATTCTGGGACAAAAATCTGTTTCAACAAATTACTGTAAAGGATCCAGAAGAATCCAATAAAAACTTAAGTGAAGGCAGTCAGAAACAAGAACATTAGTGCTGTCTTCTCATCTTTGAGAGAATAAAAAATAGCAGTAGAACACGTTTTCTTCTGCTGGTTGACTTTTCAATTAAAAAAAAAAAAAGGTTGTCAAAATGAAATCTGCCTTGCAAATTGGTCAATTATGTGGAACAAAAATTCTTCCTACTAGGGACAAAATGAAATGATATTTAAACAAATAAAGTCCAGCCTCTCAAGTCTAACACTTACCTAAAACACTAGCTCATTATGCTTTATGCTTCAAAGAAAATATTCCATTAGTAATTTTCCATTGAATTTTATTAATAAGTACCTTTAACTGTAGAGAAAAAGAATCAAATAAATGTTTGTAAAATAAACACTGTGAAAGTGTCAGTATTTCTGTGCCAGTGGAGAGCTCCAAGACAACAGTCTTGAACAACACAGGAGTTATTCTCTCTTGAAGGTTCTTGGTGATTGCTGCAGTTTGATCATACTCGAAGGATTTTTTTGGATAGGTTCACACTTTATTCATACTTCAGCAATATGCAAAGTTAAGTTTTCAGTGGTTTATAGGCTGGGCCCATGATCAGGCTATTTTTGGCTTACCTTTATACTTGCGTTTTTTTTTTTTTTTGGAGAAGCAAGTATCCACCAGCAGGGCCACAGCTACGGGGTGGTTTTGCCAAGAGATGACACACAGCTTCTGCCCTGACTCAGCCTGCACTTCGGTGGCACAGGTAGGTGCCTTCTGCTCTAAAGAACACTTCCAAGGCAGGGAAAACAGTGATGGGTGATAACAAACTACTAGAAAAAGAAAGATTTGAGATTTGTCCATTACGTCAACACAGAACAACATGTTTTGTCTGAATAAAACCAGTCTCGTCAGACAGATACTTGCCAATCTGGAAATAATGAACTGTCAACAAGACGAGTGATTAAAGGGGAGACACTCCTTTAAAACAGACTATGGGATTTAACAGAACGAGTTTCTACATTAAGAGGCTGTGTCATCGTGTGCCTATAGGAAGCATCTTTAGAAGCCATCATGACCACCAGCTCCCTTTTAGTTTAGCTGTAGCAGCTCTTACCAATTAATACAAGTGCTCTGCCTGCACAGATGGAGCACAAACCTATTTCTTGAGGGCAAAGAGATTGACAGCATTAGTGAGGAAGAACATAAATTTACTTAAATGAACAAAAAATGAGAATGTGCCTCAGGCAAGGACTCTGGAGCAACTGGTATCACGGCCTGCCTTGTGGGGTATTTGTAAAACAGCTTCTTACAGGAAAGGACTCTTGCTTTCTCTCCCCCCCATCCCCCCCAAAGATTTCCATCAGTTCATTTCATGTTTGCTCTGCTGGAAGCACATATGGATAAATGCAACCTTAATTATTCCTAATCTAGCTCCAGGCCAGCTTCCTCCCTCTGCAAATTAAGGAAAAGGACATGGAAAAGTGAAAACAAAAAGTCTTTGAAAAAATGAGCTCATGGTGTGAAAGAGGAGGAGCCAGCAGTGCTGGCACTGCTCTGCAGGGCCTGGAGGGAGGTGTTCTGCAAGAGCATGTTGTAAAGGGGATGGGGAAGAGCATTCTCCCAGCTCTGCAATCCGCAGTGATGGCATTTCTGTCAGCAAGAAGATCCCACTGCAACTAACAAAGAAGCTTCATAGCTCTCCGAGGGATATATTTTTTTCAAGGTATGGCATGTGAGCTGAAAAGACTCGTATTTCATTAGGAGGACCATAAAAGCAATCTGCTTAGGCAGGTCTGTTCCTTAAGTGATTTTGGAGGATGCAACCAGGGCAATAAATCGAGCAGTTATTTACATCGGTAAGTATGTGCAGATGTGTGTTCACAGCTTAAGTTGGCTCAGAAATCACAAGACTTAAATGAGTTGAGGGATTTCAGAGAACGCGAAAATAATGGAACATTTTAATGTACACATTTTTCCAATGACATCAATCTTTTTCTCTCAGATAATGAGAGAAAGGCAGTACAGTCTCGTGAAAAACACACACACAAGATTTTTAAAAAATCTAGAATGGCTGAATTCTAATCCCAGTTCTGCCAACAACAAGTTCACCATGGTCTTGTTCAACTCAATTCCATGGACAAAAAGCTCTCGGGTATGAGCTACAAAGCCCACATATCTACCTGGCTTTTGTGCTTTGCAAAATCACCATACCCACACAGTCAGCTTACTTTATAGTGTGCCAATTAGCTAAACATTTGTGCAGTGTTTCCACTGTGTTTCATACCCTGTGCTTGTTTTCTTGTCCATCTTTTAAATTGGGCTGACACGGATGCTGGTGAGATACGAGTACTGATCCATGTGCGGGCCAACCAGTAGTAGTACATCTCTTAACAGGCCTGCCTCTGAAATGGGGAGGATTGACTGTAAAAACGAAGCATAAGCGTTCCTGCCAAAAGTTGGAAAATTTCATAAATATGCTGCATTTTTTTCAAAGCCAAACATTACTAGGGGGGAGAGGAAGTATTGAAATGTGCTAACAAGGCACAAGAACGATTAAACTCTGCTCTTTAGTGACCAGACAAACCGATCATGGCTGTGGCAACGCGGTGTTCATTTAAGGTACCTTCCAGTTTTTCTCAGTGTCACTACAGGCTACAGCCATGCATTTCCACACCCTAAGTTGTTTGGATTTCTTTCAAGTCTGACCTTAATTCTGGGTATTTCCTGGGTTTATAATGCTTAGCTTGTGGATGTTTACAACATACCTTTCATATATTTTGTCCTCAATAAATGAATGTACTCTTAACCTCAATTCCATCTTAACATTGCAAAACAGAAACAACGTGCTTTTATTAAATTGAAAAACCCACGTGCAAACACCAAGCAAGACTCCCAAAGAATGCTACCTTGCAGTTTTCCAAATGATTTGCAGATACAAAGTATGTTGATTCTTTAATAATTGTTTATTTTAACTTTTATTGCCCAATTCAGGGATACACTCTGGCTACTTAATGCTGTGGTAAAGCAGCACAAAAATAACACAGCTGTGTTGAGATGCAGGTTTCACTAGAGCATTGCTGAGCAGCTGGTTTGCCCCTTTCAATCTCCCACTCCTTCCTGGCCTGTAAATTCCCCACTCTCCACCCACCCTTTCTCCTCTTCAGCCTTCACCTGCATGTGCACACCGCCTCGTGACCACCTGCTTCTTTCCTGTCTTCAAATCCACCTTTTTTCCTACACACACCTATACACACACCTTGGCCTTTCTGCCTCTGGGTAGATGGGGTACAATGGGTATATCCTCTACAAATACTTATTTAAAATCAGCAGCTACTTGCAGGCCATTTCTCCTTAACTGATCACCCATCGTCAAGCAGAGGCTGTTGTAACCAAATCTTGTCAATCATCCAATTTTAGCGCGCATCTGCTTGATGTTCACCGTGGCTGAGGCCTCCTCCCAGAAGGGTCAGCACTCGCTGCTGTTCTCGGTGACAGTGAAACCAGGTCCTGTGCTGCCTGTTGCTGTCAGACAGGGGATGGGAACACTGAATTGCACAAAAACGATGTCAGAGAAATGCCCAGTGACTTCAGACTCACTGACTACTGCCCCAAACAGGCATCTGCCACAGAATTGCCTCTGCTGATGCAGGAATTTTGATTATGGACCAAAAAAAAAAAAAAAAGAGAGACCGCAACAAAACTGGCTTGACCACAGATGCCGAATTTCTTAAAAAATACATTCTTTAAAGCTACCTCCTAGTGAAGCAAACCAATTCATTTGTAGATCCTTAGAAAAATCTCTTAATATTCAGAGTGCTTCAATTTTATGGAAGATCTTTTCATCTGTAACAGCAACACCAAATTCCTATCCAAAATGGAAATCTCCTTTTGTTAGCTGCAGCTGATCCCCTTCTAAATTTGTTAATGCACTTCATTTTACCAGTTAAACCTTTAAGTCCTTTACTCATTAGTGTCACATTATTTCTTGTTCTTTTATGACCTAGAAAATATTAC